GAATGATCTATGGAGACATTACATATAACGGAACAATCCATCTCTCTGATTTAATAATGTTCACAATAAATAATGAAATACTATCTATGATACTGACACAATATCTACGAAGTCTACCCACTTCAGTACGGTGGGTGAGTTAAAGCACATTTAAAACAAAGTAAACAATACGAACTAAAATGATTTTTAATAACTATATACTTGTTCTATGCAAATATGATGCTAAATGTAAGATAAAACAAATTTGTAGCAATGTGAGATAGAGAAAAAATTGGAAATCCATATTATAGTTTAGAGCACGTTCAGTACATAATATAAGATAAAAAAAAAAAACAATATTATGCCCGGATCGGTACGAGAAGCTCCGCATGCTGTGGCGAAGTCACGGCCCACACGAGCGCATTGCGCGGTCCCTCGACACTTGGCAGAACTTGCGACGCGCCGCGGCAGAACCCGTGTATGCACCAGCTCATCTCTTTCTCACACTTGGACATGTAGAATCCTTGGCTAACAATTGTACACTAACAATTATATCTAATATTATATAAGAGGAAACATAGAAGTAAATAAATACATAAGTAAATACATCTAGCTAGAAAATTTGAATATAAGAATGGTGCAAGCACAGTGACATACCTAGCAACATCTCCGATTTCAGATACAGTAGGCCGAGTAAAGCAAAAAGTAGAAAAGAGATACGTCCATACATGCTTGTATTATGTCTTCTGCTCATGTAGGTTATAAATACGGTATTCTTCACCTACAGTTACACACATTTTACGATTCCAGTTCGATGAAAAAGGTTCTATATATTACATTAGGCTTAAGTTCTTATCGTGTAGAATTTATGTAGTGTATAGTTGGCCGTAATGCAAACACTATTTGACTTAATCAATAAGTTTATGTTCTCAATAGAATTTCTATCAACAGCTCACACGTAGGTCTTTTTGGTGACTTACATGTGTATGGCTATGATAAACTACGTTTAGATATCGTCGAAATATTTTTGTATTGGTTTAAGTGTCATAATTTGTATTTAAAAAAGTAAATGTAAAGAAAAGGTAAAAAAACGTTCTACAGTCTCTAAGCAACAAGCAAAGTTACTACTACGTTTGCAACGACGTGACGTTACTAAATGTGAAGAAAATGTACAGAATAATAGTACATATGTATGAAATAAATCAAAGCCCGACCATCGACCCTAAACTCACTAAGACTTGGTTTTCGAAATAAGTCCTCTAGACGTGCCAACTGAAACATGCTAATATAGATCGATTTAGTGAGAAACACACATGGTTGAAAGGCTTTCAATTCAATGAAAAATATTTTCACGAGCAAAAAGCTATTGGATCAAAATAGTCTTTGATATATGTTATTCATGTAGATAGGGTAATCTAAGTAAAGTGTCAGTCAGATACGTAAAGATCAACCTTAAAAGAACACTTCTTTCACCTCTTAATGACTGGGGAACTTTCCTTAAGAAGTTTTGAGATAATTATTTAATATTCAGTTTAATTAAACAGATTAAGGGAAGTCAAAAATAAATGCACGTATTAGTTTCTTAGTTTTGAGAATGTGAAAACTAGCTCAAAGTGATTTGTGTGATATAAACCCCGGTCATGCGTCAGCCGAACTTACTGGATGTACATATACGGATATACACTCTTGTATGTATCGGTAAATTTAGAAACGAATATTTTATTACATCAAGTTAAAATGCTTTTGGCGACAATAACTTGCCGTATTACTTACTACGCAAGTCGTAACGTGAGTCGCAAACTGTTCGCCTATCGTGACTAACGCCTCAGCGTTGCCGGTGGTGCGCAAAAGGGGACAGGACGGGTGTTTTATAGCAATGACATAAAAATCCTAAATCATAACACAACGCGCCAAGTCGGGATGATGAGATTACATGACGATCCGTACCTACACACTGTTGGTATGTTTAATGGTGCGTTGTTACATTCCACCATTCGTACACAATCCATTCACAATGGAATATTCAAGAAAATATTAAACACCGAATAGTTTTACGTATTCGTTTAATATTTTCAAAAGAAAAAAATATGATCTTTGTTTATTGGTGCGGTTTGTAGGTATGACTGGGATTTAAATATATAGGATACTGAATTTAACATTACATTGGATCGGAATCAAACAGAACACTTACGATTTCTAATTCATTTTCTAAATTCAAATATTTAACTAAGTTGATTATTGAACTTTTGAAACTACCTGAATTAAGTAAATCACCTGCCTGTAGCACCAAGCTAAGCTGAAAAATATAGTTAAAAACTTACTGATGAACGGACAAGCGTTAATGACGTTGTCGAACCGAAAAGATTCTTGGAACCCTATCGCAGCGTCACTTACTTCGGCTTCGATTGTGAATCTTTATCATCCAAACTCACTTAAACGCTAAAAAAATCATTAAAATCGGTCCAGCGGCTTAGGAGGAGTTTAGTTACACACATAAATATCAAAAATAATTTTATAAACAGCCTTTAATAGTCCATTGCTGGACATATGCCTCTCCTTAGAAAGGAGGTTTTGGCCCACTATACAACACTGGCCAGACGGGTTGGTATAAGGATTGTTTCAAGTTTTCCCTCTCTTTGCAGTGCTGTCATGTTGCGTAGTTTGCTCCCTTAGTCGGCTCTTACGACACCCACGGGATAAATAGTGGTGGTGACATTCCGGATTCTTAATCATTTAACATACGCACAAATAAGTTACAGATGTACATAATCAAAGTATGTAGAACTAACCATCTTTACAGTTTTGTGCTCAAATCAGATTCTCAGTGAACTGAAAAATGCAATATTTACGTTTTTATAATACAATTGTTTCATTATCATTTAACGTCAATATTATACAATTTGTGTCCGTTTCATGTATGTTTGTCAAGTCCCCCGCAACACAAGATTTATTCCTAGCGCGGGAGTTGTCTTTAAAAAAAATATGGAAACTACGTCATATGCAAATAAACATCACAGTAGGAATAAAATCTCTTTCTTTACGGCCCAAATACATTGACCTAGAAACCCAATGTTGTGCGCCGCCCAACAAAAGACACTTAATCAACTACAACCATTGAGGTACGTACACAATGTATGTACGTATATCTACATTATCTATGTGCGTAAGGTAAACGAATGAATTTAACGTACCTTAGTACCTACATATTGTATTACCCACCCTTATCGTAGAATCAGAAGAACATTTTACGAAAAAAAACTACAGTCCGTAGGTAGTAAATTATTTGGTACTCGGAATAATTGCAATTACAAGAACAATGTAGTATTCGGAGGGATACAAGAAAGTCCATAGGTACTTATCAATCAGCACTATACAGTGCTGAAAACGATTTATCTTAACACTATTTTTATTGACAACCAACTGTGACGAGCAATCATCGTAAAGGAATTTGAAAATACTGACTTTTATTGACTTTGTGTTCCGTACCCTAATGGTGACATTTCACTATCATTTATTGGACGGGCCTGTTGGTCTACTTGTTACTCACCCTGACCGCTAGGCCGGAGGTCGTGGGTTCGATTCCCACCCAGGAAAAATACTGTGTGATGAGCACGAACATTTGTTCTGTGTCTGGGTGTAATTTATCTATAATATGTTTGTATGTATTTGGCAATATATAAGAACGTTTATCAGCAGGCTGGTTACCAGGTTTTACGTGTGGAAACCCTCTCAGGTCACTATGTGCCACACGGGATCCGGGAACTGCTGTTATTAGGACATCCGGACTAACAGGCTGGTTATTACTGGCACAGCACAGGCTCTGCCTAGTTTTGGAGCAGCCTGCCGTGTGTGAGATGTGTGGAGTTATTTTTATATACTATTAGTATATTTGTAATGACATACGGAATCTTCAAAGTAAAAAGTTAATGTCAACTTTACCGGTGTTTTATTTTTGAATTGGTGATTTTACAACTCTTTGAAAAACGCTATGTTCATTAACCACCAATTAATTAATTACCGATTCTGTAATAATCATAGTTACGAATATAGTGGATTAACATCGACTACAAATACATTTATAGATCTCAAGGTTAGGCAGATCGTACAGAAATACAAGTGCGCCAAAGCTTTCTTTTGTACCTACTAAGAGTATATACGAACACAATTTGTTTATTTGTTTAACGTTGTAGTTTAAGGTTAGCTATGTACATAATCATCCTTTCCAGGGAGATCAATTACTATACAGAACGGTTGCCATTTCTCGCATTTATATCATCATCACGACGACCAAAACCATCCGTTTTAATCGTTCTATAAAATTATTCATTGTGGTATAAAACGGGGCCGGAGCAAAAACTGAGGCGGGGAGAGTTCAGGGGGAGACGAAAGATTGGAAAAACGCGGGTAATCAAAGAATTAATTGATTCTCTCCGATACTGTTGTACCTCATCTCTATAAAAAGAGGATTACGTTTGTTCGAAGGTTTAATAAGAAATTAATTGTTATATAATTGTTGCTGGGAAATGTATTGCTGTGTCTGATTGCTTTGAGCCATTTGTACTTTCGTATCTCGATAAAATTTAAAATTCTTTACTTCAGGAGTGGGAATGCTTTTTACGATGTTACTTAATGCAAATTTGGCACGTCCCTGGTGTTTATGAGTTTGTGTTTGTTGCGTGCATTATTAACGATTGTAGTCTGCTGTACTTTGACCTGCTCATCTAAGATCTAAATCTGATCTGACTTTAATACCTAAAAACTCGTGGCTCGCTTAATGGTAACATAATATTGTACTTTATACAGTTATTTCTCTTCGAAGGTATATTCTAGTAAAAAATACTTGTGTATTGGAAATTATTGGAAAATGCGGTTTAATAACAAAATACAGAAACTAACAAAAACGTGTTTTTTTTTTCTTTTGCATTAAACTAATATTTCTGTCTGTGTATTCTTAAAATTTACCTGATATTACTTGTATTATCTATTCTGTGACCTTACACACAACTATTGTGTAAAGAAATATGGAAACAAAAATTCAAGAGTTTGGTCACTATCGAATGAATACGCAAAGTTTAGACTCTGATTTGCCGGTAATAGCGAATACGAGTTTTGCTTCCAATCATTAAAGTATCTATTTATATATTGAACGGTCATGTGTGAACAATGTAAAACATTGTATTTATTTAAATTAATATCATGTTTTATATAATAAACTAGCTGACCCGCGCAACTTCGTCTGCGTCTCTCAATAGTAATAAATTTTCTCCGTTTTTGAAACATTCTTCATTGGTGCTCCGCTCCTATTGGTCTTAGCGTGATGATATATAGCCTATAGCCTTCCTCGATAAATGGGCTATCTAACACTGAAAGAATTTTTCAAATCGGACCAGTAGTTCCTGAGATTAGCGCGTTCAAACAAACAAACAAACTCTTCAGCTTTATAATATTAGTATAGATACTTAAGTACTCCTCAAATAGGCAAGCAGGCGTCTAGCTGGCATCATTCGAACGAGGCGCTTCGCGACAGCGGTTAAATCCTCTCCAGTCTCTCGCTTTTGCTCGGTACGGACTTATCTTAAAATATAATACATATGCAACCGAAAATGCACCCAAAGATAAACGTTTAAGTTCCAACTCACAATAACAATCTAAGTACATTTCAACATTCAGTACCGTCTAGGGAATTTCTTTCGAATGTCTTCTACATATTGAATACGTATAATCCCCGGGAAAAATCTTTATTGCACTTTACAGATGCGCTGCTAGTGATTTTCCACTTTGCGTTCACACTCTTCCTCGCGCGCCCCTCCCTCGTGAGTGGGAAGTACTCAGAGGTTCGTTCATTACGTTTCTCACTCACTTGCCGTTTTACCCCATTAGCTGCGAACGAAACCCTCTGTTCAGTGCAATGAATAATTTTTTGCTTTAGTTTTGCTTAGCAAAATGTGCCAGTGCTGTTCGAGGATTTAATACATGCCTAAAAAGTTTGTAAAACTAAATAGATCTTGAATTAAAGATGAGTAAATTGCAAAATGAGTAAGTGGTTTACATATGTATGTTCTATACTGTATGTACAGTATATTTATTTTACAGTAATTAGTTCAGGAGCTATTATTTTACTACAAGATCATCTTCATATGCAGCAGAAACTCACAGAGCTGTCACTTGGTCGAATGTTGACGATGTTTGACAACTTATGTTAACAGATATATATTTTATAAGGACACTAGCTGTTGCTCGCGGCTCCGACCGCGTGTATTTCCGTTATCGCTGTAAAAAGCCTATGTCCTTTATCAAGAATCAAACTATCTCCATAACAAATTATATCTTAATCGGTTTAACAGTTATTGATTCCTCTTACAAACTTCCACCTCCTTTCACCCTCCTAAAGGATGATTTTTTAGGTTAAAAACTATCCCATGTCCTTTCCAGGGACTCAAAATTTCTCTATACCAAATTTCATCTAAATCGGTTTAGCGGTTTAAGCGTACAGAGGTAGCAAGGAGGCAGACAGACAGACACACTTTTGCATTTATAATATTAGTATGAATATGAATACATATTATAGATAAATTACACCTAGACACAGAACATGAGACCGTGCTTGTCACACGCTATCTGTCTCGGGTAAGAATACAATTAATAAATAAAACGAAGTTTTTATAAATGAAATATATAAAGCTTGTAATTTAATGTTATATAAATTATTCAGGGCTTGCGGCCATTCAATTTTATGTTTCTTGCAGCTCTACGTTAGTAATTAATACTTAATCACTTATTGATTGCAGGGTTTCGATGATGGGATCGCCAGTACCGCGCGGCTCCGCAGACCGCCCGGATATAAATAAATTTCATGAGCGTGCTCACCGCACTTACACCCGTCTTTGCCGAACGTCGACCCGTCATTGCCGGACGTCAACCGCGCTGCAGGTTGCTGCCGCTTCTTTATCCGATTCGTATTAAATCCTTGCAGTTTCAGCTAAATGAGTTTTTATTGTCATAGGTAGAGTGTACAATTATAGCGGGTGTAATTGGTTCTTTTATCTTCGTTATTATTTCTGAGGTCGTGTTCCCATTAAGATCCAAAAGCTTAAAAGTAATATCTTAAATTTTGGAGAAGCACCTCTAACAATAGAGTCTGGTCTAAAATCACCTGGGAAAGTCCTGATTGCTCTTGTCAATGGTGGCGCTTTATTGTTGTTTGTGATGTTCGCATCAAAGATAATACATTTCATGAATGTTTTATTCAATTTTCTACCGCTAGTGATACAAGTAGTTTACACGTGAATTCTATGTAATCAACTTTGAAGAGCTTGCACATAAAATGAATTGTTTCATAGTTCCGTGTAACACTTGAATCTATTTATAAAAACAATTATTTTCGCCTTCCTCCCTTCGCCATATAGCCTCATAAAATGCGTGTAAGGAGTTATATTTTGAGTTATATAGGATACATGAAAAAGTAGCTTTATATTAAAAGTGATGTGGAAGTGAGAAGGGGAGGTGTTTGCTGACAAACTTCTGACTTACAAGAAAGTTGTATTATCCTTCCTTTTTTATATTTTTCTCGCTGACTTAGTGGTAATAATCAATGGAAAATTTTACATTTATAATTGAATAAGCCCTTATCGTGTACTTATCGTTGATGTACATGTACATAGTCAAAGCAACTAATTTATATATACAAACGATGCACAAGGTGTAAGAGCACACAAGCGATGTACGATCTCAATAAGAATAGGCCGCAAAGCCTGAAAAGGTATCCCGTTCCTTGGAAATAAGACTGAGTCTGAAGCGAGACATGCTGCACCAACCAAGCAATTGCAATTGAACAGTGTTATGCAGAAAATCGTTTTAAATTATTAACACCAATTACCTGTCCAAAGTTATAATTCAAGAGTTTACGGGTTTATTATTACAAGATGTTTTACCATAAACATTACAATTATATATTATTTTTATAGTTTAACAGATGTTTGTTTTCAGTTCATAGGTTAGATCATTTCTATAAATGTGTTATATTTTTTGTGAATAATAATGACTTCACAAATCTCACAGGTGTCTGAGCCCAAACTAGACAGAGCCTTTTTTTTTTTTTTTTTTTACGTGTGGAAATCCCCTCGGACCATCACCCCGCCGGGGCTCTCGTTCGGCGGGGCGGTGTGTCGGACTCGAACCGACTAAAACCACACGGTGTGCCCTCTTTGCGCTTCCAGTTTAGGAGGGGTCCAGGTAGTTATCGCCTTCTGGACCCCTACCAGCGCCGGCCCGCTCCTGATGCGGGCTCCGTCTCAGTGGACCCTCTCTTTAGGCGACGTCCGGCACACGCGGACGCCACCCCCTCGCGGCTGGCCAACTAATGCGGGTGGAGGGGAGAACCCATCCCGTCCACCCGCGGCCACACTCAGGGCGGCATGAGGCGCAGGTGAGCGCGCCTCCGCCGCCCGGTTCGCCGGCGGCGGATCGGGTTCGAGTGGAGGTCGTCCTCCCGGGCCTTCTCCGCCGCCTCCTTCTGCGAGATTACCTCCTCGCAAAAGGTTGCGACCGCGGTAAAACAACTGTCGCTACCGGCCATGGAGCGAATTACGGCCGGTAGCGCTCTCGCTACCGGCCGTAATAAGGGCGAAAACCGCTCTCCGCCCGGAAGTCAGCCACTCGCCGATAAACTTCGGCGAGCACTTCCGCTTCCAAATCCCACGGGGGTGTTCCGGCCAAGGCGCAAGCCGCCTCGGTGGACTCCGTGCGGTATCCGCGTATGGCTCTGACCGCCAATATCCTCTGGGGGCGCCAGAGGCGCGCCCTATTCGGGGCGGTCAGAGCCGCCACCCACACCGGTGCACCATAAAGCGCCATGGACCGGACAACCCCCGCGTACAGCCGCCTCGTGGGAACACTGGCCCCGCCCAAATTGGGCAAAAGTCGCCCTAGGGCGGAGGCAGTGTCCACCAGCTTCGGACCAAGCTGTCGGAAGTGCTCGTCGAAGAGCCACCTACCGTCTAGGACCAGACCCAGGTACCTCATCTGGGCCCGGACCGGTACGAGGACCGAGCCGACCTCGATTGAGGCGCCGGCGGGCGGACCACGACGGGGCCCATGAAATAATAGGGCCTCCGTCTTATCCAGGGCCACCCGTAATCCCAACGCCTCAATGCGCCCGACCACCTGGGAAACTCCCGTGGCGGCCAGGCGCGCCGCCTCCTGGAAGTTAGCTCCCCGGGCCGTGAGTAAGGTGTCGTCCGCGTAGCAGATTACACCCAGCCCGGGGGGGAGACGCCCTCGCAGGGCCCAGTCGTACCCGATGTTCCACAGGAGAGGTCCTAGGACAGACCCCTGCGGAACACCACACGACATGGCCCTGCGTCTCAAGACGCCATCTCGGTCCTCGTACATGACGGTTCGCTCCTCAAGATAGTCTGCCACCAGCCGCCTCAGGTACTCCGGCACTTCGTGGTAGCGGAGCGCTTCCCTGATGCAGCTGAATGGCAGACTATTGAAGGCGTTGGCGATGTCCAAGGACACCGCTAACACCACTCCGCCGCAGCTCACGGCCTCCTCGGTCACGGCTCTAAGGCGCATCACGGCATCGATCGTCGAACGCCCCTCTCGGAAACCGAATTGGGCGTCCGACAGATCGGGGCCAACCTCGCAAAGGTGCCGGACGATTCGGGCAGAGAGCACCCTCTCAAAAAGTTTGCCCGCCTCGTCCAACAACACGATAGGCCTATAGGCCGCGACCGATTCGGCAGGCCGTCCCGGCTTCTGCAGCAGGACCAGCTTCCCGCATTTCCAGCGCTCAGGGAAGCGTCCGGACGCCAGGCTAGCGTCCAACACCCCCCTGAGGTGGTCCGACATGTAGTCGAGGGCTCGGGCCATCACTCGGGCTGGAACCCCGTCCGGCCCGGGGGCGGTGTTCTTGGATCGAATCCGTAGAACAGCCGCCCCCAACTCCGATTCCCTGACGGGCGGAACATCAACCTCGCTGCCCCCGTCGTCTCCGGCTGATGCAGCCATCGACGGGGGTGTGTGCTCCGCCCGCAAACTAGGCAGAGCCTGTACTAAGGTAACCAGATTGCTAATAAAAATACTCATATATTTTACTTTACTTGTTTTCTTAAAAATTTAAGTGAAAATAAAGTTTATTCTATTTTGAATTAATAACATAGATTGAAAAATATTTGATTTCTTTAAAGGAGACCTGTATCTTAGCCCTCCATTTATTCACCGTGCGGGGTGAGGGGTCCATAGCGTGATAGATGGGGGCAACACATGCGACTTCGACAGCGCCTGGGAATTGCGACCCACGTATAGGTTTAGGTAGTACACTGTCTGCTGTGTTACGCCCTCTACCTAACTATATTTGATAGGAGCTTAGCAGTGGCGCTTTGGATATCGTTCAAGGAAAGAGCTTACTAAAGCTCTTAGCAATCCAAGGTATTTAAGCCGGTTATAGAGGGATTTAGCTGATATACCCCTCGCACCCATTTTTAGTTATTTCACAACGAAATAACCATTTTTAGTTATTTCGTTGGTAAGTAAAAGTACTTGTTTCTTTTTAAAGCGTAGTCGTTAGAGATTTTCGTTTCCCACGACACCGCGAGTTAGTACACCGTGTAGTACTACACCCTTAATTAACATTGCATACAGAAATATGTCTGGTTTGGACGCCGAGGCACAGATATCCTCCGGTATTCTGTAATGATTTTCATACGTGTCCACTTACAATGTCCAGTCACTGGCGGTATTTATAATCGGGTACGGCTTTTGTGAAGTCTTTTTTGATGAGCCTTCCTTTACAAACGCGATGTTAGTTCTTATGTTTGTTGTTAGTTCTTATGTACAAGCCTTTTCTGTACCTTTCCCCACCTTACTAGGTTGCTTTAATCGTTTAAAAGTAGCTTCTTATCGTTGTGTACGGGACTATAATCAGACAAACACTGTCTTAACACATTAGTAATAATGAATAGTAATCGTTCATTTAGTGATCATTTCATAGTACCATATGTAAATTCTCTATTTAGAAATCAAATGGCCAAACGATAAAAAGAGCAAAATTGCTATTAATCTTTGAGTTGAATAAATACCTTATTTATAAGACCATTCGAATAAAGTGAATAGACTAAAAAAGCTTTTAAGAGTCCTTTTAAATATATAATGTTAAGTACTTAATTGAAAAGAAATATATTTTCTGGTTGAGAGTTTTTCTCTAATTTAATAGGTCTATATCCAGGATCATAACTAGGGATCAATAAAATCACAATCACATGTGATAAATCATGGGTTTTATTAATTGTATAAACTAAATCTATATTATTATATAAAACAAACAAAAATCTAAAAAAAAACCGGATAAGTGCGCGTCAGACTTGGCCACCGAGGGTTCCGTAAAAATTTGTAATCGAAAACTATAAACCATAAAAATAATTAAATATCTGTTTAAGCTTGTGCCAATGAAGCCCTTTGATACGATACCCCACATAACAAAATTCAAAATTTGGACCGCCGTTCCTTGCATAAAGACAATGTTTTTTTTTTAAATTTAATTACAAATATATAGTTGTAAGATGTTTCTGTATATTTGTATTATAAGACGGTATTACTTGCCAAATTTCATAGTTCTAGGTCAACGGAAAATATCCTATAAATTTTGATTCCCTTGAGAGTGTCGAAATATACGTTTTTTCCGCATAAGCGGCCGTATCTTTTTACGTTAACGCAGAAGTTTGATTTTTTCACAGCTTCAAGGGACTGTAGACCTGAGTATATAGTTTTAATTTCAATACGATACGCGTTCCCGATATAAAGGTTCTTGACAGATAGACAGACGGACGGACGGACAACTAAGTGATCCTATAAGGGTTCAGTTTTTTCCTTTTCAGGTACGGAACCCTAAACAAAAAGTCGTAATCTTTGATAAAAAGAATTTTGATTAATTTTAATGGCATTTATCTTTGTCTATGGCGAAA